AATTAAATCCCATCTGCCATTTATTTGCCCAAGTCGCTATATGATCTAAATCTTTTTGTAAGTCAGCAGCATTCTCTTTACAGCTAGCAACACTCAAGACCATAATATTATCAGCAAATTTAAGTAATTTATTGACCATTCCTTCATCTATGTCACTGATATAAATAAAAAAGAGCAAAGGTCCTAGGACTGAGCCCTGATGTACCCCATTTGTGACATTAATCCAGTTTGACTGAACTCCATTTGTAACAACCCTCTGCTTTCTTCTATCCAGTTTGCTAACTTATCCCACACACCTGTAGAGATAATTTTTTTACAAGACTTTTATGTGACACCTTGTCAGATGCTTTCTGAAAATCCAGATACATCAAATCCACGTCATTACTCTCATCTACATAAGCAGTAACCTCTACAAAGAATGTCAAAATATTTGTAAGGCAAGATTTTCCCTTAGTGAAACCATGTTGACTATCCAATAAAATTCTAAACCTTGTTAAATTACTTTCCAAAACATTTTCCACAACTGATGTAAGAATAATGGGCCTATAATTACTGGGACAATTTTTATTCCCTCCCTTGAAAAGAGGAGTTACATTAGCTAACTTCCAATCTAATCCAAATCCAAAAGGACTGACAAACAATAGTACTAAGTGGCTCACGTATCCAATCTTTAATCTCCTTCAAAACCCTTGGGGAAATATTATCTGGCCCAGGAGTCTTATCGTGTGTTAAACTTCCCAATTTTTTCTTAACCAGCTCAGAATTAATGCTGACATCTTGTTTGAACTCATTTCCAATTATCAACTGTTCAAGAAATCTTCGCTAGTTAAAAGTGAAGAAAAATTTAATAACCCAGCCATCTCATAATCATCAGACACTAGCCTTCCTTTATCATCCTTCAAGGGTCCTACTCCCATCCTAACATTTTATTTACCTTAAATAAGAACAGCATTAAACTAGAAGTAGACAGTGGTGAGTCACTGAGATGTAGAGAAAAGTGTAGTGTAGTATAGAAGAAGTTTGTAGAGCAGGTTGGTTTGTTAATATTGTAATGCTAGAAGTATAAGAAATAATATGGATGTCGAAAGAACACCAGTTGGAACACAGGATTTTGATATATTAAGACTGACTAAAACTGGGTTAAATGAACACTTTTGGGGAGATTTCTTTGATATAGAGGATTATAGGTTATTTAATATGAATAACTATTAAAAAGAGGGAAGAGTGGATTTATGTGTGAAATATGAGTTACATAATGCTCAAATTAAAGATTCAAAGATAACAGCAAGGAGATGGGATCTATTTGGTTCTCTGTAGTGGATATTGGGAGAGTAGGCTTTTAGGTGGAATTTGTCACAGACCATTATATGCAACTGATGAAATTAATGAGAAAACACAGCGAGTGAGATTATGAATCAGCTATTACTGAGGTCATAATTATGGGGGATTATAATTTCAAGTACCCAGGTTGGGAAATGTTAAGATTCAAACTATGATGGAAAAAGGTTTTTAGAAACTAATTGGTCAGGGAAACTACTACGAACAATGCTAGCTTAGATTTATTTTTATCTTCTTACACAGAAATGGTTGAAAGGGTAGAGAATGGGGAACATGCAGATGTAGGTGATCATTGTTCAACTATGTTTGATGTTTTACTTCGTATGGAGATTAAGAATAATAATTTGGTTACAAATTTTGAAGTGATGTGGCAAGAAGCAACTGAATTAATTGGAGATACTGATGAATGTAGAAAATTTTTTATGATACATTTTTAAATATTCAAGGTAGAAAGAGATGGGTGCAAGTAAAAATAACGGGTTGGCTCACAAATGATGTAAGGAGAAAAAAATTAAAGAACAGCATTATATATATAGGAAGTTTAAATTAACTTAGATGATTATAGAGCATTAGGTTGGTCAAACACAAAATTGAAACGGGTATATGAAAAAAAGTTGGCCTAACAGCGTGGATTTTTTAACTACATAAGGGTAAGAAAATGTTAGGATG